ATCCGGCAAACATATTTATATGCATATACATGTGTGCACACAATACATATGTTACATACATGCATATATACATATGTTTGTACATATATACATGGAAAGGCAGTTTTCTCCTTCCCCTGCCTTTTCAGTTTTAAATGCTTCTGATGAAATTTGTAAGACTCCAAGCAAGTATATTTTCATTGTCCTACAATCTTAAACTTAATTTCTTCCACCTTCCAAATTCCTGGTAGAAGGTAGGAGTGATTTTTTGCTCTTCAGATCCCTCTTCTTCTATTCTTAGAAAAAATACATAGTTCTCCCTGAAAACCTGGAGAATAGAAGCATTCCTTCAGCCCTTTTATTTCTTTCTACAGGAGGATGATCAATTTGCACTTTATGCATAGAGTTGTTATTTTGCATTGGCAGAAACACAAACATCATGTATTCTCTGTAGGTCACTGTAAAATTCCCCATGCCTTCAATATTTGCTGTAAGGAAGACCCTCAGGCCTCTGTCATTCTTGTTAGTAGATCTTGCTCCTAACTCTGTGGTGAATTGATTTGGCAAACTGCCTACTTGCCACATGTGTTAGTTGTGCTGCAGGCAGTTCTGAATAAGGCTTAATTTATTTATTTCAGGCCTCCTACTTTTTCTGATGATAGGATTCTAACTTGCTCAGCTGTCTTTGATTGGTAATTAGCAGATTCCTACCAAACTGTAATGCCAACAGAAGCTTGCCTTTAGCTAACTCCTATGCAAGTCTCAAGCAGAAATATAATTACCAGCAAGGCTTTATTAATGAAAATGAATGAATGACTATGCATTATTAAGTGCTTACTTTGTGCCAAGCACTGTGTTAAATAAAACTATTTACCTATGTCTCCTTTCCTCTTCCTGATATTATTTTTGGCTTTCAGAACAATATCTACAAAAGTAATGCAAAATAAAGAAAAAATAAAGGAACTGGAATAATTTAACCTAAGGAAGAGGTGTGATATATGGCTTAATAGTTTTTTTTTAATATATAAGAATCTTATGATCTTATTAGTAGTCACAGGTAGGAAGGGCTTATAAGGTGTCAAGGATGCAGCTGTTCTTTGACTTATGGCCCAGAGTCATCATTCTGGAGTTCTCTGGTGTACAAGGTGCCTAAGACATCCAGAAGTTTGCAAAACAGCCAGATGCGCAAGACTTTTCCAGGGACATACACACACCATACACACATGAAAAAGCAGCCCAGGTAATGACTCCCCAGATGGCTCTGTCACAAGAAGGTTATCACCAATGAATCTTGCCTTCTCTTCTGTCAACACAATCACTTTTACAAACACAGCACAGGAGCCAATTTGGGAACCCCAGCCCAGAAATCTGGGCCACCTCTGCTTTTATATCATGTTTATAAACAGCCTTCTGGAGTGGCAGAAGCTGATGCTTTCATTAAGGCTACTGACTACAGCTAATGCCTTCCTGCTCCCACAGAACAATCACCTTGCCTCTGTGATTGCAGTGATAATGAAGAGCCCACATCTATAGATTATAGTTACACAAATTGATCTTGATTAGGAATGACATACTATTATACTTTGTTGAAAAAGTGTCTGATATATTCTTTAAAATGTACATATGGTTGCTTCAAAAGAAAAGTTACCTTCTTTATAGATAGAAATCGCTCTTAAGAAAAGGACTGGCCTAGAGAATTAAGCTGCTTCAATTGCTACATTTTTAAAAACGTGAGCATGATAAATACATATCACATTCATATTACAAAAATGTTACAGTGTGAGGAGCAGAATCTAATCTGACTTAGCAGATCCAAAATGAGATGAGTGTAGAAAGGCAGGCAAACACATAATCCCACTGACAAAGAAATCGTGGGAATTTGAGGTGCTCTTGACTTTAGTTTACAACAGGAATAAGGTGCTAATTAGAAGCAGAGGAAAAACTCCTATCAGCAACACCTATATCAGGCAAAAGATCTTAGAGCAGCGACTAAGGAGAAGAGTTAAAGTAAACAAGTTAGTTTAATGACACCCAAACCTCACTCAGGACATTCTAATTCTCATCATACACATAACTGGCATTAGAAAACAGTTACATTAAGTGAATTCAAGTAAGCCAGGGACCAATATTTCATAGTAAAAAGTGAAAAACAAAGGTTTGGTTGGGAATTAATGTAAAAAAAACAAGAAAATAAGTCTATCCTATATTTGACAAAATTTTAGGCTATAAATCACAACTATATGATAATTCTTAGAATGACTGAAGAATAAACCAGCTTGGTTTTCTTTGGCTTAATTTTTCCAAATAAAATTGTACAGTAATTATCACAATGATAAGATAATGATAATAATAGCAATGTGTAACCTCCTTCACTTTACATTTGACTTTTGCTGCACAATCATAATGAGGGTCATTGTTGAAAAATATTGTACAGCCTCATCAATTTTCTCAAGGACTTCTCTTAATCTTTTGATATTAAAATAATTTTCTTTTGAAGTACCTACCAACAATCACCAATAATAAGAGATAGAACAAATAACAAAGACATTAACTAATGGGCCAGAATGGTCAGAGATAGACTCTATTAAAGATGGGAGGGATGTTTGAGAGGGGGCTAATTTTATAAGTGTTCATCTCAGCAGGGAATAATTTTGCGTTACGACTTTTGCTTCATTTAGCTCTTCCAATCTTGTAGGGAGATAGCATGGCATTGTGGATAGAGAGCCAGCCATGGGCTCAGGAAGAAACATTTCCAATTCTGCCTTTGATACTGACTGAGTGAACAAGTCTTCTATCCTCTCAATGCTCCCAAGCAATTTTCTGAGATTATAAATTACCCAAAAGCTGCAGATCTGCTTGAGTAGAGGGAATGTTCTCACCTGGAGTTCCCTACAATGAATGAAACAGTAGGTCTGCACCAAAACCAAAGACAAGTATAATTGTAGAGATTTGGATACTGAAGGCTTAGATAACGAGGACCTCAATTTGGGTTACCCCTTCGTATTTCTGGTAAGCAGAGCGGGTTGAAAGAATAAATCCCCAAATTCCAGATATGAGAGAATTAGTAAAAACAGCTTAGCAAAATGAGATTAAGTTTCATGAGGTTGAAGACCATGTTACTGAGGAGATAGGAAACATAGAACCATGCAAAGATTGCTAAATTTTAAGAGGTCCTGTTGTCATATTCTGCCTCAGAAACCTGCCACTTGAGTGAACCTAAGCAGGTTATTAACGCCTCTAGCCTCCAGTTCCCTCAACTGTAAAAGGAGGAGGCTAGACTAGATTTCTAAATCTATAAGCCAATGACATCATAGATTATGTGATTAATTCTGATTCTTTACTGTAAATAAGGATTTGGATGTTTACTTACATTTGTGTTTTGAAACAAACTAAGTGCCTTTGTTAACACTGTTCTCTACAGCTGGGATGCCACCTTCCTCATTTCTGCCTGTTCATCTTTTAACCTAAACACAGGTTTGACAATGTCATTCCCTGGTCAATGAGGGCCAGGGGCTTCCTCTTGCCTCCAGGATTAAATAGGGTCTTCCTATTTTGACATTTAAAGCTCTTCTGAATCTAGCTTCAGACTACTTTTCCTGACTTACTTCAACACAATTCCCTTTCACACATCTACTTAGCAGCCAAACTGGCCTGGGTAGAGATTTCAGCAACTTCCCACTGGCTTACTTGCAGAATTGAGATGCATTCCCTCCTAACTCCCTCTTCTCAACATCCTTAGTGTCCTTCACCCCTCATCTCTGGTGCCACCTTCCATGGAAAAACTTTCCTGATACCCTGAGTTGTTAGCATTCTGTTCTTCCTCAAATAATAATTACTTCTCTTTGTATCCTCTCTAGAACATAGCATAGTGCAGTAAGCATAGTAAGTACTTAACAAACGTTTAGTGAATGAATAAAAAATCAAAAAGCAGAAATACTCAGAGTACATATCTTGAGCTTCTAAAAAGGAACTTCTGTACCAGACAACAGCTTTGAGGATGAGCTCTTTGTTACCCAAGGAGAACTTTGATTGGTACCTACTTTGAACTGCAGCCAAGTGATTGGAGGGGGCCAGGGAAAGAAGAGGAGTGGATCCAGACCCTTACAGGCCATGGCTAAGGAAATCAATTCTACATATTAGACTGCTAGGTGTATAGCAGATATACCCCTGGAGTCAGGAAGACCTAAGATATGGAAAGTGCCTGGAACATAGGAGGTGCTTAATCAATGGTTGTTTCCTCCCTTCTGTAAAGTTAATATGTCATGCATATGCATCATATCATAGCCACTGATATTTAGAACAACCAGAAATTTGAGGGAATTGAAATTTCTCCTTCAATTTCAGAATAAATATATATTACTTGATTCTTAGTTAATATTGACCAATCTTTTTCAATTCAACAAAAGCTCGATGAAGGACCATTGTGTCATGCACATTAATTGTGGTAAGACATTGAGACAAATACCATGTCAGATTATTTTCCTTATATTTTTACTGTCCTTTACTGAAATATGAATGGAACCTTACTCTATTCTCCCAGCTCTTGCTCTATGAACCTATGATTATCATCTATTATGTAGGAAGGTGTTTGCTTATCACATTCCAATATTTATCATCTTCCTACCGCTACGAATTTGAGGCCTAAGATATTTAGCTTGGTTGTTGACACTGAACAAATTAACAGATAAATGCCTAATTCCCACAATAATTGCAGTAATAATCAAATGGCTAAGGGAGAAGCTCAAAAGTGGTTAGGGAATTGTCTAAAATGAATTAGATTCCTCTTTTCACTTTCGTTTTTTTCATTATGTTACAAAAGCACGAGATGACTCTGAGTTAATATTTGGCCCCTAGGCCTTGGTCTCAATATATTTTTAAAAAGACAATACTTTCTACCTCAATACATCACAATGGCAATGGGAAGACTTCAGAGAAGATTTTGTATAGTGATTTTTACATCCATGGATACCCAGATCCATTATAACATCAAGAAGCACTGTTAGAGTTATTATGACACTCACCTAAGGAAAGAAGGAGAGAAATGTTCTATGCAAGAAATCCAGTGTAGTGGTTGATTGAAAGGTGATTCTGAAGAATCTGACAGAAGATCATCAGTGCCATTCTGAAATGCCCTGTTAAAACAGAAACAATTTAAAAAAAAAAAGAAATTGTGAAACATTGCATATTAGACTGCATTAAAACTATTTTTGGAGTTAGCCATTCTTCAGAGCTAACTACTTAAAGAGAAAACCACATGAAATACACAAATTGTGCCCCTTGGAAATGTACTACACATGTCAGTGCAGAAAGGCAGATCAGTGAGCCCAAGAAAAAAGGCATGAAAGGAAGGTCAAGGCCTCTTGAGGACCTTTATGTTGTCTGCACTTCCAGAGAGTAACAGTACTTTCAAATATTGTTCAGTCATGTCTGACTCTTCATGACCCCATATGGTGTTTTCTTGGCAAAAATACTGAAGTGGTTTTCCATGTCCTTCTCCAGCTCATTTTACAGATGAGGAAACTGAGGCAAACAGGGTGAAGTGACTTGCCCAGGGTCACACAGCTAGTAAATATCTGAGACCAGATTTGAACTCAGGAGGAGTGTCTTCCTGATTCCAGGCCTGGTACTCTATCTACTCTGGCGCCTGGCTGCTCCAACTTCTAAATGTTAGGAATCAATCAAGGAACATTGATCAAGTTGCTACTACGCACCAAGCACCACAATGTACTGTGCTATTATTCCAAAAAGATACAAGAGGAAATTGGATGATTGCATAAAACTAAAAGGAGATATATCAGCATTTGTTGCCAATTCCCATCTCAAAGCATAAAAACTCTCTTCAGTGCAGATAAAGGAAAATTACTTTTAGAAGGCTCATAGGATGATAAATTTATAGCTGAGAGGAAGAAAGGACACAAGCATTTATTAAGTACCTGCTAAGTGCCAGGCATTACTCAAGCACTTTGTAAATATTAACCCATTTGTTCTTCACAACAACCCTGTGAGGTCGCTGCTATTATGATCTCCACTTTATCTTCGAGGAAATCAGGAAGACCAAGGTTAAGTGACTTGCCCAGGGTCACACAGCTAGTAAATGTCTGAGGACAGATTTGAATTCAGGTCTTCCTGACTCCTGGCCCAGCTTTCTATCCTCTGTGCCACCTAATTTTCCCTAAGAATTTTAGAGAAGACCTTCCAGGTCATTTAGGTTAATCATTTTATTTTACAGATGAGAAATTGATGTTCTGAGAGGCTGGGATGCCCCTAAGCCACATTTCTATTAAGTATCTAATGGGATTAGAACCAAAGTCTTTGTGACAAGAAGTCGGGTGCTCTACCTACTACACCCTGCTGCCTCTCAAGAAATATTAAGTAACTTCTACAAAATTAATTATCAATCAATCAAGAAGCAACGAGCATTTATTAAGTGTTTACTATGTGCCAAAGACCACTGCTAAGCACTGGTATGACAAAGAAATGCAAAAACACAAAAACAGTCTCTGCCCTCAGGAAACTTATATACTAATGGGGAAAAAAAAATACCATGTAAATGTGAGGAGGTGTGTGTGTGTGTGTGTGTGTGTGTGTGTGTGTGTGTGTGTGTGTGTGTGTGTGTGGGGGGGGGGTCCATATAGGTTAAGTGTATCCATATAGGTTTGTCTAGCTATGGCTCACAGGAAACTATGAATAGATAGATATCTTTAAAGTTTTCTCTGCCTATCTTTCTCTAAGGGAGACTCTGATTTCTGCTAAGAGAGGAAGCAGGAGATTGGTGCCAGAGGCTGGCCACTCTGTTTTCCTCAGAGAAAGGATCCTAGGCTAGAATTATACTTATCTGTCCCTCCTAAATGTTATTAGTATAGAGGAAATAATTTTTAGGTTCAAGTTGCATCCCTGATTGGTATTCCTTAATAGGCAAGAAGTACTCCAACCTATATCTCCAATGTCACATAGACAATGGGAGGTAGGAAGAGGGGAAAAACTGAAAGGACCAGCAGCATTTGAGCTAAGCCTTGAATGAAAATAGGTATGTCAAGAAGTAAATGTGAGGAGAAAGAGCATTCTAGGTGTAAAGACAGCCAGAATTCATCACCTAGTAGCTAGCCTATTGGTAATATGCCTCTCTTTATACAGAGGGGCTGACCCACCAGCACCATACTGGAAGCCTTTGAGTGTGGCACAACCTATCAAAGCTGAAGCTCTATTGCCACAGCCTTCAAAAATCCAGCAGCATCATCTCTATACCACCAATCTAAGTACTACTTCAACTCATCTTGAAATACAATTATAACACTCCCTCCCCCACCCCCTTTCTTGCTTTTCATTGCACTTATGATCAGATTCTTTGTGGTAAAGCAGGTTCAACTAGATTACAACATTTCCCTTGTCTTTTCCTACTTCCCAATGTGCCTCTCAGGCTCATGCTACTCCATTTATCCAATTATCTACCTTCCACTTAATTTTTCCCAAGATGTAGCCTAAGCCCAGAATACCCTTTCTTGCCATGGCTTTCTAAGTTACCTCTAAATGTTCAAGAAGCTCCTTAAAATCTGCCAACAAAACAACTTCCCTGACTAATTGGAAGAAAAAAAGGAAATTTCCCTTGGCCATTTCTGACATAAATATGCAGTTCCCTTGATGATTCTCCTCCATCTGCCACTCAAAAATAAGGTCTTTCCCCTCTGCTTGCATTAAATTTTCTGTTTCTGTGTCTTTCACTGAATGCTTATCCCACACGTAGGGCTCTCCTTTAAATTTTAAGTTCCTTGAGAGCAAGGATCATATTGCATAACTTGTATAATGCCTAGAGCAACCAAGTACTTAATGAATGCATTCTGACTGACTTTCTGATTGAAAGTGTCAGAAAAATTTTTCAGAAAAGGATGAGCAATTGTTATAAAATGTGCCTAATTACAACTTTATCTCTCAAGACTATAAGAAAAATGGAATAACTACTAACAATGGAATTTTATTTAGTGCCAGAAATGCTCAGAGAATAAACTCCTGGCAATATACTTTTTGCCAGAACATTTCTTCCAGATACCTAAGTTCACTTATTCCTCTGACAGTTATACAATAATACTGGTAATTGTAAGGTTGTTTTGGCCACAAGAAATTTTATGGCAGATGTTTATGGTCTCAGAGGGGGAGGGATCTGTATGAGCATTTAATTCCGCAGCAAGATCCCAAATTAGTTTCATTATTCTGGAGAGTATAACAGGGTGAGAATTGATCCACAAGCCTCAATGGAGGAATGAAATGATGAGATAGCTACAAGATATATTCTAATGATGTTTTGTTATAGAGTTAGAAAGAGGGGGTGCTATAAATAATTCAGAGTAGAAGATAAAATATAATTGCATGAGCTGTAGCATGTTCTCCCCATGAAACACAACAGCATTTCTATATGGGGAAGTAATTACTCCTTTTAAAAAATAATTAAATGGACTATAGGTTGCACGAAATGATTATTAAATTTCCAAGCCTTCTTCCTAATTCAAAATACTGCAATATCTGAAATCAAGAACTCGAACCACAGAATATCGTGAGTATGGATTCAGTCAACCTTGGTCAAATTACAATGCAGGTAGTTTGCTTTCCTTGTCATCTCCTTATGGCTCCCTTCTCCCACCCCCTTTTACAGATTTTTTCCCACCTCCATCAGCCAGGATAGATGACTCTCATGTTGCCTTCTGCCCCTTAAATCAACCTTGTCCTTCCTGAGCTGTGGCCTGAAATCCAAAGCAGGGGTCATTGACTTGATAGCAAGCCTAATGTGTTACAAGGTCATAAGCTACCTTCATGTACCTCAGAATATCTACTACAGTATTAAACACACTTTATTTTATGATTGTTTAACCCAACCCCCAGGGTATTTATACTTTAAAAGTGGCTATTGGCTGGGGCAGCTACGTAGCAGTGGATAAAGCTCTGGGCCTTGAAGTCTGGAGAACCTGAGTTCAAATCCAGCCTCAGACACTTGACACTTACTAGCTGTGTGACCTTGGGCAAGTCACTTAAACCTGACTGCCTCACCAAAAAAAAAAAGTGGCTATTTGTTAATACCTCCCCCTTCTTCCAATTAATCACTAATGGAATTTCAAGCAGTAAATGAAGAGAGGTATCTTTTGTTAAGGGACAGCCTATTTGGTAGTCCTCAATCACAATATGTAGGCAATAGCCTATTCTACTCATGTAAAAGGCCAGCTCTTTTTGGATATATAATTTCAGTATTATAATTAGAATTAAGGAATATCAACAGTTAATATCTGTAGACAAATCTTGTGTGATTCTAAGTACCTTTTTCTTCCCCCACTGAAACTTCCCCCTGCTTTCTCTTTTCTACCCCTTCCACACTATCATTACAGAAATAGAAGGGTTGATAAAACTATTGCATGTTTTGTATTTTATTAATTTCATGGGTTGCCATTAACTTAAAAAATCATCCAATGACAATTCTTTGCGTCAAGTTTCTCATGATTAGACTCTCCATATCAAGTTAATCCTTGAAGAGAAATCTTCTATTACTAGCACCCTAACAGAAGCCTTCTCATTGTAATGAGTACTATCTCAGGGAACATCCTCAGATTTGCCTTTATTGGTTCCTATCAACCCCACATGTGTTGGCTCAATATTTAGGCCTATTAAGGATGATCTGATCATGAAAGTGACTCAGGTCTGAAGGATGTAGGTCCTCTGTTATTTTAAAATGGCAAAGCAATACCCTCCGTGGCTACTGAGTGGAAAGAACCTTTTAAAAAGAAAAAACTATCTTTGTTCTTGCTTTGAGATTATCCTTTCTGGCAAATAATGCTCTCAATCACCAAACTCCCTATAAGAGCTGGGAGGGAGGGAAGAAGGAGAGGGGTCCTCTTTCTGCTTTCCTTCCCGAGGAGGTAAGTAACTATTGTTCTCAAGGTAGACATCTCTAGGATTAGAGGCATTTGAAAGGTCTCAAGGTCCAGTGTCCAATGAGGGGATCTGATTAGCAGCAAGGGAAGAAGATGGCATTGAAGAAGACAACCACTAAGAAAAGGAGAAGGTCAGCTCCCTGATTTGACTCACCAAAAGACACAGACTTGGAAGGAGACAGTGCCTACTCAGCAGTCCTGAAAATGTTTAGATGAGGTTT